GATTTAAATGGGATTTTGGGTACAAATACCGGGATTTTGGGGGCGATATCGCGACATGGGTGTGAAATATCGCAATTTGGGTGTGAAATATCACGATTTGGGTGTGCAATATCGCGATATAAGTGGGATTTTTGAGGTTTTTGGGGCAAATATCGCGATTTGGGAGTGAAATATCGCGATTTTGGTGCTCGATATCGCGATACTGACTATGCCCCGCCCCCCAGCTCGGCCCCGCCCCCCTCTGGCCACACCCCGTGCCGGCCTCGCTCTCACGTGGTTTTCCTCAAGACGCACAAGACGGGCGGCTCCAGCGTGGTGAACGTTCTATCGCGATACGGGGAATCGCGACAGCTGCGCTTCGCCCTCCCCCACCGTTACCAGTTCGGTTACCCCTCCCCCTTCCGCGCCGAGCGCGTGCGCGGCTTCCGGCCCGGCCGCACCTTCGACATCATCTGCCACCACATGCGCTTCAACCTCTCCGAGGTCAGTTTTGGGGGGAAAAATGGGGAATTTGGGAAAAAATTTAAAATTTAAAAAAAAAATTTGGTGAAAAAATGGGGTTGTTAGGCGAAAAAATGGGTTTTTTTAGGTGAAAAAATGGGATTTTTTAACCATAAAAATGGGATTTTTTAGGTGAAAAAATGGGATTTTTTTAGCCATACAATTTTTTTTTTACATTATTTTTTGAGGGTTTTTTAGATTAAAACTTTATATTTGGATTTTGGGGGAAAAAAGTGAATTTTTGGGTTTGTTTGAGATTTTTTTTAGATTTTCTTGAGTTTTCAGGTGATTTTTTGTGGATTTTTTTTAAAAAATCAAAAAAAAGCACAAAAAAAACAGGAAAAATCCATTAAAAATCCGTAAAAAGTCACCGAAAAAATCCGAAAAAAATCAGAAAAAAGCCCGAAAAAAATCCGAAAAAAATCAGATTTTTTTTTTTTTTTAAATTTTTATTTATTTTTTTCTTTTTCAGGTCCAGCGCGTGATGCCCAACGACAGCTTCTACTTCTCGATCGTGCGGGACCCGGGCACTTTGGGCGAATCCTCCTTCTCGTATTTCCGCGCTGCCGCTCCCGCGTTCCGGAACTCTCCATCGCTGGACGCGTTCCTCTCCTCCCCGTGGCGCTTTTTCCGCCCGGGAATCCGCGGAAATCACTACGCGCGAAACCTCCAATGGTTCGATTTCGGCCTCCCGGATCCCGTGGAACCCCAAAAAATCCCGGGAATTTTACAAAATTTGGAGAGGATTTTCCCGCTGGTTCTGCTGGCGGAAAATTTTGACGAATCTTTGGTTTTGTTGCGGCACGAACTTTGCTGGCCGCGTTTTTCCGTGGATTCCTTCGCTCACAATTCCCGGGATCGCGGCCGTTCCCGAATTTCCGCGGAGCAAACGCGGCGTCTGCGCGCTTGGAATTCCCTGGATTGGGCGCTTTATTCGCATTTTAACCGCTCGTTTTGGGTGAAAGCGGAGAAATTCGGGATCGCGCGGCTGCGGAAAGAGGCGGAGGAGCTGCGGGAGCGGCGGCGGGTCCTGGCAGGGAAGTGTTTAAAGGGAGGGGGTCCCGTCCCCCCCAAATCCATCGCGGCCGCGGAGCTGCGGCCGTTCCAGCCCCCGGGAGGGGGGAGGATTTTGGGCTTCGCGCTCCGGGAGGGGCTGCAGGGGGAGGAGAGGGAGCGCTGCGGGAGGATGGCGATGCCCGAGCTGCCCTACAAGGACCTGCTGGAGCGGGCGCAGTTCGGGGGCAACGGGAGTGGAAGTGTCGGGGGGTGATTTGGGGCGATTTTGGGGGATTTTGGGGGAAATTGGGGTTTTATTTTACAAGAAAATGGGAAAAATCCCGGTGAAAATCCATGGGATTTTGGGGATTTGGGGTCAGGATATGTCCCCGTGCCTCAGTTTCCCTGGAAAAGGGAAAAATCCCGGTGAAAATCCATGGGAATTTCGGGATTTTAGGTGGGAAATTGTCCCCGTGCCTCAGTTTCCCCAGGAAGGTACGCCCGTGCCTCAGTTTCCCCAAAAAAGGGAAAAATCCCCGTGAAAATTTGGGGATTTTGGAGGTGGAAATGGTCCCTGGACCTTGGTTTACATGAAAAATGGGAAAAATCCCGGTGAAAATCCATGGAAATTTGGGGATTTGGGGTCAGGATTTGCCCCGGTGCCTCAGTTTCCCCAAGGATCGTTTCCCAGGGGGTCCTGGGGCTTTATTTTACATGAAAATGGGGAAAATCCCGGTGAAAATCCGTGGGAATTTAAGGATTTTGGAGGGGAAAATCGCTTCCGTGCCTCAGTTTCCCCAGGAAGGTACGCCCGTGCCTCAGTTTCCCTGAAAATGGGAAAAATCCCGGTGAAAATCCCAGAAAATTTCGGGAATTTGGGGTCAGGATTTGCCCCCGTGCCTCAGTTTCCCCAGGAAAGTAAGGCCCCGAAAATTCCAGGAATTTGGGAAAAATCCCGGAAAAAATCTGTGGGAATTTCGGGATTTTGGGTCAGGAATTGTCCCCGTGCCTCAGTTTCCCTCCAGGAAGGTACAAAATCCCCCCCAAAATCGCAGAAATTTTGGGATTTTTGGGAATTTTGGGATTTTTTTCCCACAGAACCACTCCGTGCCTCAGTTTCCCTCCACAAAGGTACAAAAAATCTCCCAAAATCGCTGAATTTTGGGAATTTTCCTGTGGAATTCTCGCCGTGCCTCAGTTTCCCCCTTCCCCATAAATTCCCAAATTTTTGGGAATTTTTGCCGCTCCGGATCCGCCGCGTGCCGCAGTTTTCTCGCATTTACAGCAATAAACGCGCGCTGATTGGCTGAAGCTGCTGTCAATCACCGCTATCAAACGTTTGATTGGTTTATTGTGCTGTCAATCAATGCAAAACCCCGCCCACGCCGAAAG